GATAGTTTAAAACAAAGCATTCTATGTATTTGAATAAAAATACTGGAGAATTTGCCATGTATCAAAGAATTATTTTCTGTTAGGCAAAATAATTAGTAGAAGGGTAAAATCATAAATCAGGAAAGAATAAATATTGTCAATTTAAATACATTAAATATATACCTGTTATTTGCGCAAGGTAGGTAAAATATAATTTCTAAATTGAGCCTTTTAATTCTATGCTTGCTTAAATCTGGTCTCCTAGAAGAAAAATTGCTAGAATTCAATGAAATTTAAATTATTTCAACTAATGACTTTATTTGTTCCCTGATTTCTTCTGGTGTATGAGACTCCTCAATACAATCGTATATTTAAACTTTCCATTCCAGAAAATTAACAAGATAGAGATACCAGTTTTTTCCCAAATATTAATACAGAATTAATAAATAATTGCAAGCTATCCATGAACGCCCAGCCACCGGCAAATCACCATTCATGTATTGCTGCAAAGTCACAGTTAATAAATCATTTTGAGAATGGCTAAAACATTCTGCCATTACATTATGTTGCCACATCAATGGGCAGGACATTCATGTTCAAATTTGAAATCCAGAATTGCATATTCTTTGAAAACGGGACTGCAACCTTCATTGATCAACTCTCTCAATAACTTTAATTCCATTTCTATATGCTAATACACTAAATAGAAATAAAGTAGATAAGTTTAGCATAATAAAATTAATTGAGCCAGAGTTATAAACTTCACTAACCGCAGTATTGATATCTTTGATTGCATCCATTATAGGTTTTATTGTATCTCTTCCATATAAGTTGTCACCTCCTACGATCTTTCAATATGCACTATATATATATATATATACACACACACACACACACACTAATATTGTAGTTTAAATTAATGCTAAATCAATGTAATACAATTAATAAAATATAATCAAATTTCTTACCTAGATGAATTCCGCGTTACCCAGTCTCTTATTGTTCTATATCTTTCCATGAGATAGTCTTTTAACAGATAACCTGAATACTTTATTTTCTTTATTTTCTTTATTTTCTGGATGTTCCCACCTGTTGAATTTGTTGAAATAGTATTTTCTGGCCACTACTAGAACCAGGAACATCCTGCAGCTATGAACAAGCAATAACTTCCAGTTTTGATTCCAAATCATCTAATCGATTCATCACGTTTTCATTTTTGTCATCAATGTACGTTGTCATTGAAGCAAAATTACTGTCCATATAAGACTACATGGAAGCAAAATTGTTCTTCATATAAGACTGCATTCCCAGATATTGTTGCTCATACCATTTTCGTTGTTGTTGAAACATTCCTTGATACTGCTGTTCATGTCATTTCTGTTGTTGTTGAAACATTTCTTTCTGTTGATCAAGAAATGCTTGATAACGAGCATCTTGTTCTTTTGTTTCTTGAGCAGTATGATAGGAATGCATGCCAGATTGGAAACCCAAACGTTCGTGTTGATTTTCGTACCATTCTGATGTTGTTCAAACACTTGTCTCTGATTTTGAAGAGTTTCTGCTTCCTGTCTTCTTGATTCATAAACTATGTTTGTCTTCAGATTATGACACAAGCCAGACATATCTGACACTACATGCTGCCTATACATACTGAACATTTCTTCCATTTCTTTTCTTCTTACATAGTTGAAATCAAGAGAAGAACAACCAGACTCCTGAAGTCCAATTGAAATCTGCGCTGTTGAACTACCAGCAACACCTGTTTGTTGCTCGTCCATACGATGTGGAATTAATTGCTCGTCCATATGTTGTGGAATGTATTGATGTGCATTCTCAAATTCTCTACCAACGATGCTCTCTAAAATAATATGTTGGTTATCAGTTGGTAATGATAAAGTCACATACCAAACTTTGTCCAATTCTTCTTCAGTGGGTGCAAACACTACAAGTACTTTAATCTACAAATATAAAAAAAAAAAATTATAATACTTTCTTCTCCCACTATTAAATAATTAGATAATTGATAGTTAAATGTATATATAAAATTATCGTACCTCTTAGGTAGTGAAAAATTGCTTTACTTTTCCGTCACTTAATATTTTTTTTTGGCTTCCACTTATGCTTTCTTGGAGCCTGTAATGTCTTATACATACGTTGTCCAAATTTGTCTCCAGTTCGAGGAAATGCTTCGTATATCCAAAACTACAACAGAGAATTCAAAATCAATATTAAATACGTATAAAATCAAAATATAGAGTAAATAAATTAAAAAAAATTCTCTGAAAGGCAAGGGGATATCCACGTAGTATATATTTACATTCATTTTGGCCAGACTGTTGCATTCTTTGTATTCTTTTAATATGTAATTGTTGCAACGACTTCAAGAAAACAAAGTATGTCTTATGGCCCCAAGGATACAACAAAAAATCGTTTAGCTGCTCAACCATGCCTAAAGTTCTGTAATCAATATATCTTTCCGTTGGTGTCAAAACACATTCTACCAACATCACAAATCCCAATTTTAATTTATCCTCTGGATCTTCACACAATTGGAATGCGTTGTAAAACGTTCTCATGTTAATTCTTTTTTTTTTTTTTGCTTTCAAAATATTGATCTTTAAGTTGAGAATTGTTGGGATCAAGATAACGAGCAAAATGATCGTCCAACCTCACTCACATCTCATTCTTTTTACCATAGTCAACAAATCTCATTATAAATTCATGTACTAGTTTATTGCTGAATTGTTGCACTTCATCTCTATACATAAATCCATAAAAAAATCCATAAAAACTGCTATCGCTAGAGATTAAAAGTGATTGCTCATTTGCTTGAAGCAATTTTATACAATCTTTTATATATTGGTAATTAGGGTATTGAGTGATAGTACCAGAAAACCATTAGTTTGGTGACAATATATAATTTAGAGACATATGCACAAATAATAGAAATGAAAAATGTCATAACATAAACCAACATATCTTCGTGATTTCATATAAGTATATATCGTATATATCATGTAAGCTGGAAAAAAAATTACTGTCAGTGCATATCAATCATTAGATTTAATATATATTTCTAATTCTGAGATTTTGTTTCCAATTTATATAAAAAATATTATAATTTAACTTTAAAAAAAGAAACAAAAAAAAGAGTAACTTTCGAGTGTGAGGAGTCCAAATTGGTGCAGGGAGTCCACACATAGTCGTTTGGGGTCCCCGCACAGTCATGCGAGGATAGTGCGGGGAGTCCCCGCACAATCGTGCAAATTGGTGCGGGGAGTCCCTGCACGAAAGCAGTACGGGGACTCCCCGAAAGTGATGTGGGGACTTCCCACACCACCGCATGCGGGCACTCCACACATTTTTCTGCGAAGTCCTACACTGCAGCTATCTCCCCCACTTACTTTCCCCACCACAAACTTCATTTTCGACACAAACTTCACCTTTTTTCCACAAATATCAAAGATTAAAAATAGTAAATTATTCATATAAATAACATTATTCATAAAAATCGATTTACCTTAGAATTTGTTGCTTAATTTCAGACTGTAATTAGTTTGAGATTTGAGATGAATGAATTGAAGATGCAGATGAAAAATAAGTTATGAATTTGAGGTAAAGAAATGAAGTAGGTTGGTGAAATAGTTGCTAACATTAATTACATTAGGCATTTGACATTCTGCAAGATTCTTTCTTTTTTTGACATTTATCTTTTGCCTGGAAGAAAGAGACATATTTGTTTTCATCCTCTATCACAAGTGCAATGTCTCACACTCAAATTTGACTATCTCAACCACAAGAATCCACATTCCCACTTACTTTCAAGCCAAACACATTTCTAATATTTAGAATTATTTAAATGAAATATCTTTAGGATAGTGATGGCAGACGCCCCGCCTCTCCCGCCTCGCCCTGCCCCGCACCCCGCCCTGCCTTCGATGGGGCGGGGCGGGGCAATTTTCTTGCCCCGTTTCTTTCCCCATTTAATTTTTTTAAAATTTCGAGTTTAATAAAATACGGATAACATTCAAGTTGAACTTTTAATAAAGAATGCCCTTACTTTAGGTAAATTTAAGTTTTTGTTTTGGGATAAAATTATTTATAGTGTAAAATGATTTTTAGAGAATGTGTGAATAAAAAGTATGAAAAAAATTATAGGTCTGCATATAAATTATGTTATTAAAAAAATTGTGATAGAAAATAAGTTTAAATTAAAAGCGATTTTGAAATATGTTGTATAGATAAACTCTTAAAAAAAAATCACGTGACGGGGCATCCCCGCCCCGCGCCCCACACCCGGCGACAGGGCGACCATTTATGCCCCGCTCGAGGCTAGGTTAGCCGAAAGCTAGTTATCGGTTCAAGATCGTAAGGTGCCCGGCACCAGAGCGGGGTGGGACGGGGTAAATTGCCATCACTACTTTAGGAAAGTCTTTAAATATGAGATAGTCTCTATAATAAAGAGTCAATCTTTAAAATTATCATCCAAAACACTCTTTCAATTAACATTTTAATTTAGAAAATTGGAGCCAAACTCACTCTCTCAGTAAGTAATTAAATGCATTTAAAATATTTTCAATTTTCAATGTAAGAAAATAATAAAATAATCTAAAGAAAAGTTGGTTAAAACAAAGGAAAAAGAAAATTAAATTATTCTTTTCTATAGGAAAATTATAAATTATCTTTTACTTATATTTACACAATTTTAAATCTAATTTTTACTAACTGTCAGAGAAGATTTATGCCAAAAAATTTAATTCAAACTTCAAAAGCATAATCAGTCAAAAAATTTAAGATTTCTACATCACGTTAATAAAGACACATTAAATACAATAATCGTGCAACGCACGTGACATTGACTAATAAAAAAAAAAAAAAAGCACACGATTTAAGCCAAATTCCTCGAATTTCCCAATTAACATATCTCATATTACACACGTGGCATGCCAATAAAGATAAACGAATGAGTGATCCTAGACAACCTTAATAGTCTCACACACGCGCTCTGTCTCTCTCGATCTCGACCAATCGGAGCTCTTGTTCTATTGCTCCACTATTTTTTATATCAAAGTCCACCTTTCATTTCACGCACGTTTTCAATTGAAAGCGGATCGCGTCATTTTCTCTTGAACAATTCTTCTTGGACGGGGCAGGCACCCGGCCAATAGCAATTAGCAAGGCCCTTTTCTCTTTCTATCTGCATATGCGACCTAATACATTTTCCAGATCGGAATTGCGCTACAGTATCTCTTGCAAGTCTTTCAGGAATCCTTCTGTTAGTTTTTCAGGTTAAATTCTCTTTCTTTTGTGGGTTTAAATATGGGCTCTGTATCATATTTGCATATAATTTCTCCTTTTTTCCCCTCAATTTATCACTGAGTTTAATGGATGCGAATTGTGGCCTTTGATCATTATTGAATCTGAATATCATTATTCAAAAAAAGGTTTCATTTTTTATCATTTGGGATTTGGGGTTGAGGGGTGGGGTGACAATAATTGAGTTTGACCAATGTGATTCATATGTAGATGGGGAGTGGAGGTGGGGACAATAATCATGTTTGTTGAAATCCATATATACCAGCTTAATTTTTACTAAGTGGATGGGAAGTTGTATAATATTATCAGTCAAGTGAGGCTGCTCAATGATTATATGTCAAAGAGCATTGTTGATGATCAATATCTTTGATTTCTTTTTCACATGCTTTTGAAATTTATATACGAGAAATAGGGTATGACTTCAAGTTGCGTGAAATTTTCCCAATAAAATTTTCATTCTTTCTGCTTCTAAATTTACATGTTCAACTTTGATCATGCTAATGTTATGTGACAAAGATATTTTGTTGGATCGAGGCTACTTAATTTTAAATTACATTATTGGCCATTAATCAAGTAAAAGTTAGTAGCTTTATTGATTGTTTATGATTTGTTACCTGTCTATTACTGTCAGTAACTTTTTGATTTGTTTGCTGTCCGAATAAAGCTTTAGGATTTCTTTACTAGTTCCCTTTTCTAGAGAATCAATTTTTAGTATTTACTCATGAAAACTTTGACGATTACTTTGTTTTGTTGAGAATAGATTAGTCTTGAATACCCTAATTTCTTAAAATTTGTTGTTACAAAGGTAGACTTGGAGTTAGTAATGGCAAGTTCAGATCTTGATTCTGAAATATTTGTGAAGCAGTTTTACATCCCTGATTATATATTTGTGCCGAACTCCACGGCCAATTGTCCGCCTAATATACCTGAATGCCCTGTTCTGGTATTCATCAATTCTAAAAGTGGTGGTCAATTAGGCGGAGATCTTCTAATCACTTACCGTTCAATACTGAACAAAAACCAGGTGAAGTCGGCATTCCTTTTGCTTTATCTTGTGTAATTATATGGATTCCAAGTTAATTGTCCCATCTGGTTCTGCAAGGTATTTTACTCTAGAAAGCTATTGATCGTCAATAATGTGTAGACCTGTGCACTGATCTTAATGAATTTCAGGTTTTTGATTTAGGAGAAGAAGCTCCTGATAATGTGTTACGTAAGCTTTATCTCAATCTGGAAACGCTCAAGGTTAATGGGGATAAACTGGCTACTGAACTCGAGGAGAACTTGAAAATAATTGTAAGTTGAGTTACAAGGAATGCGTGGTCTTGCCCTCTTCCCTTTTATTTTTTAGAACTTGCATAGTTATACCATTTGATATCCTTCACATTTGCTATTTCTCATATAACATTTGATAGACGTAATTTATAGGTTGCAGGTGGAGATGGCACGGCTGGCTGGCTTCTTGGGGTCGTTTCTGATCTCAAATTGTCTCAGCCCCCACCTATTGCTACAGTGCCTCTTGGAACTGGAAATAATCTTCCCTTTGCATTTGGCTGGGTATACAAATTCTGTTTTTTGTCTATTGGCCCCAGATGATGCATTTAATACATATTTTTCATCTTTTTAGTGATATTTCGTGGTAACTATACTTTGCAAATGAAATGTTTTCTATTAATATGCAGTATGACTATCATCTATTAGCTTGCTTATAGTATAACAGTTAACAGATTTGCACAAAATTTGTTTGAACTAATACATATTTGCCTAATCAATGAACTAACCATCTATTGGTCGAAATTTCCTCAGAACTAGCAGTTTCACTCGATCCTTTGTGCATTAACTTTAGGATTTCCTGGTTTATGATTTTTCTTGTGCATGAACCATTCACCGTCTTTGTCTTACTTTGTCAATTGCAGGGAAAGAAAAATCCAGGAACTGATCTTAATTCTGTTCTCTCATTTTTGGATAAAGTACAGAAAGCAAAAGAAATGAAGATAGATAGGTACTGTTACCGATGTTATTTTAGTCCCACGTTATGTGACTAGTTTTTTTTGTGAGCTCCCCTATTAATAATTGCTTCACCAGACAATTCATTGTTATCTTAGAAAACATTTTGGCAGTTGTAAGGTTGTGATTTAGAATGTAACAAGAACGAATTATAGAGAGAGAGAACAAGAAAATGGGAGGAAAATATATGATTCTGATTCACAAATAATAAATTTGTGTTCAAAATGAAAAGCTTAAGTCCTCTTCTATAGAACATAGTCTTGAACCTCAAAAGAACTTCTAATCCATAACAATGAACAAAATAAAATACATATCTGAACAAAGCAATATAAAATCTATATGATAAAATGGTAAAATCTAATCTAAATGAAAGTCTATATTTTCTACATGCTCGTCTTGAGTAGACTTTTAGTTGTTTCAATAAGGTTGATAGTCATCTCTGTAGCACGACACTTCAATTAGGGTAGTGTTTCTGTGTCGGAATGTGTCAACACCGACACTCCTCAATGACTCTGTCATAAGTATTTTTCTTTTCTTTTTTTTTTTTTAATTGAAAATGTTATATATTTTAAACTTCAAGTTATTAGCAAATAACAAATAGGTACTATATTTAAAAAATTTCAAAAAAAAAAATTTTTAAAATAAAAATAAAATAAAAATTAATAACAAGTATAAAACTAAATTTATATTATATAAATAAAGAATTTAATCAATATGTCAGTGACATATCGTGTCGGTACTTTTTTGAAAAATTGCGTATTAGTGTATCCTGCACGTATCGTGTCAGATACACGTATATGTATTGGTGCATCATAGATAGTCATGAATACACTATATCAGGTCTGGGTTATAGAATGTGACATAGCCTAGTGGTTTCCTTCCTAATGTTAGTATGGGAAAGTGCCTCATAAAACTCTTCGGATTATATTGGAAAATCTCTTTGAAATAAAGTACTAATTGAAAACATGATCAACCCTTGGTTTCCATCGTTTTCAATTCCTTTTGCCCTACTTAGTTGTGATCGATATATTTATTGGGCTCATGTGCTAAAGAAAATCAATACATTATTGTGTTTATTCTTTGTATTTTCTGCAACATTAAGGCATCTAGCATTCAAAGTTCTCATGTCGTTTGACGTCACTCAAAACTCCATGAATCACGCCCACTATTCTTATCACCATTATATATTTATATCTTCGTAGTGTCTTCCCTATTTACCCAATAAAATCTTAACACTAATGAACTAGTAAAATGATCACAGTCTCTTTGCATCATTTATTAGATTTTTATCTATATTTAATTATGAATACATATATAAACACATGATAGAATTTGTTTTTTTCACAAAGCACAATAACAGGTTTGATGTAAAAATTGAAATTGTAAATATATTACCTCATTTGTTGCCAACTAGTTAAATTTTCTTTAGTCATGAGAGGGTTCATTTGTTACTTTAGCCATTCAGCTACTTGCTATATAATACTTCTCCTCATGGATGGTTCTTGAAGAATGATGAAATGTCAATTAAGAGTACTGCACTGTATTACTTACTGCATAGAGCTCTTCAATTCTTGAGTGCAAACTTTTTGTTATAATCCAGCTGGCACATTCTCATGAGGATGAAAGTGCCAAAAGACGGTTCTTGTGATCCAATTGCCCCAGTGGAGTTGCCCCATTCATTGCATGCATTTCATCGGGTATCTTCAACAGATGATCTCAATGTGGTAAGATGACGTTTTCCCCTCAGATTCATATATGTTTCCTTGCACACACGAACTTCCCTTAAATGTTATACTTTATATTTCATCTTAGGAAATTCTTCCTCTCTTCCTAGGGCCAAATTGATAGATGCTCTAAGTTTGAACATGGTGTTTCTTTACTCTTAATAAAATTTTATATAATTGAAAAGGATTCACACAATATATAGGCAAAAATTCTAACCTGTCCCCTTCCCCTGATGGAGCCCCCTCCTTTACAATTCAAAAACAACCAATCACAACTGAAACCACCCACGTCGGTTGTCGCTGATGACGGCCTTAAGGTTCTCACTTGACGACCCTTACCAATCGGCCTCACGCTACAAAACGATAGTAATATCGGCCTTAAACCACATTTGCAGGCGACAGCCCTAGGTGGAAACCCTAGCATCATCGCCCGAGCTTATGCGATGACCACATACGCACCTTACAGGTTATATATGGAAGCTCCAGAAATCGGTAATCATGGAAGAACAAGAGAGTTACGGAGCAGTAAAAGAGAAATGCCCAGTAAACTCGATCCTGATTACTCACGTTCTGAACATTTTTCCTATTGACGTGCCAGTCCAATCCAACCGTTCATACATGTCTTTTCGCTGACAGAGAGATGGTGGCGTGGTGCACGTCGCTCCGATAGTGCGTGTAGCCCACGCGATGTCTTTGAATCATTAGAAATATCCTCCGCACGATCACAGATCATTCCTCTCGTCTGCTTTACCATTAGATGCATCGTTTGCACATTATCGGGGAAAAAGTTTGTAGGTGCGCTTAGTGTGATGGTGTTTAATTCCTGTTTCAGAATAGAGGTGAAAAAGTTCGCAATCTCTATTAATGATTCCGATACTGTTAAGTTGACGGAATGGGACTTGAAGATATCGAACGCAATCTTCATGAGGCAGTTTGATGCATTTTGGATGGTGAATATGGTGGATAAGTTGAGGGTGGCTAATAAGCAGGAAGACTTTGTCACGAGATTTAACGAGTCCTCTAGAGCTTTTTTGGCACAACTTTGTGCGAATAGTGGTGGTAGGTACTTAATGATAGCACAATATGGGGAGAGGTGTCGGAAGGGAGTTGTGATGGTGTCGAAAGGTGCAAATAGAGAGGGATGGACATTAGTTTCGCGGGCGTTTCAAGCAGTTGTAGACTCATTTGTCACTGGTGACAAGGCCAAACAACGAATGGTAGAGAAAAGAAATTGACAAGGGATGACTTATGCCAAAGTTAAGGCAAACTCACAGGCTTCACAGAATGTCGATTGATGGTTGCTACTGCGAAAGGAAGGGGTGGTTAATGTGATTAATCCTCAACAAACGGTGCATAAGGTGGTGGAAGCAAATGTAGGAGGTACACATGGTAGGTTTTGGAATATTATTGAAATAAGGGCACGTGTCTAGGCGTTGAAAACAGAATTGGATGAATTAATTAGGCTAGTGGGGAAGCGAGTCTGAAGTGGGCTCCAGGTTGATTTTTTGTCATAAGTGTGGGGTAGGAGTAGAGGAGTCTCCAACAATGGACAAGTAGTGAATTTGGTTCCTAAGGAGCTATTATCGAAATTGGCCCAAACTAAAGAAAAGCAGGTGATGATTGAGCCCATTTGTAAGTCTCATACGTAGATTGAAGCGGGGTATTTCGTAAATGATGATGGACTCGATGTAGTGGGGTTGGATAGGGATGATAACGACTCGGGGATTGAAGCAGATCGGGAGGTGGAAGGTTGGTCTAAGGAAAGGGAGCCGATTATGGCTAATCTAGAGGTAGTAACTCCTGGTGCAATGGACACAATTCAACCGGCAGAGGGATTAGTGTCAAATGAGAAGTAGATGGGACATGAACTGGCAGAGGATTCAATTTGGAAAGATGTGAAAGAGCACGATGCGACATGCTCGGCAAATATGGTGGTGAACACTTAGAATAGTAGGTATTCTAAGCCTCTACAAGAAAGGGAGTTAGGGTCTAAAAAAGTTCTGGTGGTGTTGGTTGGTGGCGATAAGAAGGGGAAAATAGACAGTGATGTAGTATTAATGGAGGAAGTCGAGGGACATATCCTTGATTCTTTGAATGTGATTGTAGATGGGCCCTCACCTTTGAATTGTGTTCTTCAAAAATTTCAGGATTTCAGCAAAATGGTTGGTGTGTCTTGTGATATATATGAAAGTAGACTCCTACAATTTGAGGAATGGGAGACTATTAAGGGATAGAGGATGAGCAGTAAATCAAGAAAAAAGGGTGACCGTGAACTTAAGTAGCTCAAATAGTCAGTAAATTATGACATTAAGGATGGAGAGTCAAAGAGAGGGCTACTGGGAAGGGATGAAGGAGTGTTGAAATGATCCCAAAAATATAAGTTAGAATGTGGGGGGCTTAACGAAAACGGGAAAAGGTTAGGTAGTCGAAATTTGATAAGGGATGGAGGGCGGACCTTGTTTGTTTACAAGAAACTAAGATGGAGTTTGTCTCGAGGGCTATGGTTAGCAATTTATGTGGGACTGCATGTAAGATATCGGTTTTTGGAAGAGGTGTGCTAGTCATATAGGATACTAGTGTGTTTGATATGGAGGAGATTAGTATAGGGTTATTCTCTATATCGCTTTCATATAGAAATATTGGGGATAGATTCCAGTGAATGTTTATAGGATTTTATGGTCCTACTTCTCATGAGAGTAGAGGGGACTTGTAGGGATGAGTTAGCCGGTATGATAGCTTGGTAGAATCTCCCAACGTGTATTGGGGGGTGATTTTAATTTGGTTCAATTTCCTACTGAGAGGTTTAGTGGTGGGAGACTAACAAGCTCTATGGAGGACTTTTCAAATTTTATTAGGAAAAATATGTTGATGGATTTGTCAATGATTGAAGGAGATTTTACTTGTTCATCTAATCGGAACCAACCTGTTCAATTTCGAATAGACCGGTTCTTGATCAATGGGAAGTGGGAGGCTAAGTACTCATATGTCACTCAGAGGAGATTAGAGAGGGTGTACACTAATCATTTCCCTATTTCATTATCTGGGAATATGAGGGGTAGTGTAAAAAAGCCATTTAGGTTTGAGAAGATATGGTTAAAAGTGAAAGGTTTTAGGGAGTATGTATAGACTTCGTGGGCCTCTTATGATTTCAGGGGGTTTCGCAGTTGTATGTTGGATAAAAAATTGAAAGCTTTGAAATGGGATTTAAAGAGGTAGAATGAAGAGGAGGTGGGATTCAAACATGGAGGAGTTAGATAGGAGAGATGAGAGTCAAAGGTTGGATGGGGAGGAGAGGATAGTTGGAGAAGTTGATGGAGATGTAGGAGATTGCCTAATGTCAGAAATCCAGGATCACATGGTTGAAAGAGGGGGACAAATGCACCAAGTTTTTCCATAGGGTCGCGAATTCTAACAGGTGCAACAATTCTATTACATTGTTGGAGGTAGATGGGGTTACTTATGAGGATCCATAGGATATTAGGAACCAAATGGTGAGATTATATCAAAATTTCTATCGGGAACAGCTTGAGTGAAGGCCAGAGTTGGATGGACTAGATTTTTCTACTATCACGGAGGAGGATGTCAGTTGGTCAGAGAGACGATTCAGGGAAAATGAAATGAGGGAGGTGGTTTTCATTATGAATGATAATAAGGCATCGGGACTAGACGACATCTCATTCGTATTTTATAAGGCTTGTTGGGAGGTAGTGCAACCTGACATTATAGACGTTTTTTCCTATTTTTTAGTGTGGTAGGTTCCTGGGAAGCTCTAATGCTACGTTTATTGTACTGATTCCTAAGAAATCGGGAGCAGCTGACATTAAGGATTTTTGCCCTATTAGCTTAGTCAATGGGGCGTACAAGATTATTGAGAAAGTTTTGGCGAATAAATCAAAGGAGGCATTGGAGAAAGTGGTGTCTAAGTTTCAAAATGATTTTGTGAAAGGAAGGCCAATCTTGGATTCTATGCTTATAGCGAATGAATGCGTTGACTCAAGATTGCGCTGGGTGTGCTGGGGATGTTATGTGAGCTAGATATTCAGAAGAATTATGATCATGTGAACTGGGGGTTCCTTTTGTATGTGCTCAGGCGATGTGGCTTTGGAAAAAAAGTGGTGTAAGTGGATTCAATTTTGTATCTCTATTGTCTCATTCTCAGTTTTGGTCAACTGCACCTCGAAGGGTTATTTTTGAAGCAGCAAAGGTTGGAGGCAAGGAGACCCTTTGTTTCCATTACTTTTTGTTATTGTTAATTTGACATTCAGTAGGATGCTTGAGAAAGCTGTGGGGGAAGGTTTGATAAGGGGCTTTACGATTGGTCACTTATAGGTTTCCCATTTACTATTTGCAGATGATACACTGATTCTATGCGATGCAGATAATGAGCAGTTCAAGAACTTGCATCGGTTGCTCCTATGCTTTGAACTGGTGTCAGGATTGAAGATAAATTTGGGGAAATCTAAGAATATTCCGATGGGAGAAGTTGCTAACGTGAATGATTTGGTCGATATATTGGGTTATAGAGTTGCATAGTTGCCTATGTCATACCTGTTCTCCTGTAAGGATGGGGGCCTTAGATTGAGGAGCCTTATTCTGTTTAAGAAGGTTTTATTGGGCAAGTGACTATGGCAATTTGGAGTGGAGAGAGCGAATTCTTGGAGAGAAATCATAGGAGCGAAGTATGGTATGATGGAGGGGAGTTGGAGCTCGGTTGATGGTCGTGAATCTTATAGGGTGAGTTTGTGGAGATATATCCCATGAGGATGAAGTGACTTTCGAGATAAATTGACTTATGTGGTTGGAAATGGTAATAATATTAGATTTTTGGATGATTGTTGGTTTGGAGATCAACCGCTAAAGTTGTGGTTTCCTTCTTTGCATAGCACTGCTTTGGAGCTTTTTGCTATGGTGCATGATGTACTAGCCATACACAATGAAAATTATAGCTGGAATATTTTTTTGAGAGGGGTTTACAGGATTGAGAATTGGATGATTACGTGCTATTTTTGACCTCCTTGCATGAGGCGCATAATTCGGGTAGGAGAGGTGATCATAGTAGTTGGGGGTTGGCATAGGATGATATTTTTTCAGTTCGCACTTATTTTAGATCCATATTGGGACATATGGAGAGTTCATTCCCCTAGAAGATGGTTTGATAATGTAAATTACCTCCATTGGTGGTTTTTTTATTGTGGATGGTTGTGAGAGGAGGCGTTAATGGTGGATAATCTTTGAAGAAATTTTTTTTTATGTTACCGAGTGTTGTTATATGTGTAAGAGGGATGTGGAGATGATTGACCACTTGTTCATTCATTGTGATGGTGTTTGGTAGTTGTGGAACGGTATTCTAGCTTCTCAACATTTGGATTGGGTGTTGTCTAAGCATATGGAAGACATGTTGTGGGCATGGAGGAGAAAACTTCGTGATAAGGATGGTAGGCTCATATGGAATCTTATTTCGGGATATATTGTACGGTGTGTGAAGAGAAAGGAACAGTCGTTGTTTTTGAAAAACAAACAAGAACAATAGAGTCGATCAGAGAATTGTTTTATCTGACTTTATATACTTAGTTTAATGCTGCAACTACGAATCATATAGAAGGGCTGCATAACTTCATATTGTTTCTTTCTTGTTTAAATTGCTCATGTATTATCCTTTTATTAATAAAATTATCTGATTACCTATCAAAAAAAATTTACATTTTGTAGTTGATGAAACTTCCAATAAATTATTTAGTTCTACTTTGTTGGTTCTTCAAGGTGAAAAGCAAAGGCACTAAGAGTTAGAATTTAGATCCTGCATTCTTTTTGAATGGTGCAGTTGATAACCTACTACAATTTATTTAAGAACCCTAGAAAAATCATGGAATGTGTTACAACTCTTAAGCATTTTGACTTCTGTTATCCACGTGCAGTTCCAACGGCGTAGGAAATACGTAAGTTCGGGAAGATTTTACTCATTTTAGTTGGGTTTGAAGATTTTTATTTATGAATGGCACCTTGAACAAGAAGATGAAGCCGCACCTAACATTTCTGACATGTATATACAATGCGGATGACGTGATTTCTCTAATTGCTTATGTTGTCTGAATGACTTGAAACTAGATCTTGACCAGAGAGAGATAATACTGTAAATAGGAATGTAATTATTCTTATTGACACTTATGGGTGTTGGTCATCAATGCTGCTAAATATATTAAAGCAATACTTTAATTTGAAAACTCAAACCCAATTCCTTTCTCAAGTCTTAGAAGAAATGCGTCTAACGGTTTATTATTTTTATTTTCGACTGTTCTGCAGGAAGGTACAGTCACATTCCGTGGAGGATTTTGGAATTACTTCAGCATGGGTGAGTCTGTAATTGCTTAATAGTAACCAATATAAAGCCTCAAATCATTATTTTTGTTGGTGAAATTTTTAACCATCTCAAATCTGTGATCGTGATTGAACTGCATACATCTTTCTGCATAATTTAACTGTTATGAATTTCGCAAAACCTTTGATCAAAGTAACAGAAGCCCTTTTGGATGATGTGCTCACAAAAATTTCAGTGAACTTTAAAGCTGATCTGAGCTGCACAGTCTTGTGTATAAAAAATTTACATCTCTCATCTGTTTCCATGATTGAATCAATTATGTAAAATATTCATCATTCTATTCCCCCCCCCCCCCCCCCCACCACCACCCCCCACCCAAC